CTGTAGCATTTTTACAGTCTTTTACCGTTAAATTCACGGTCATTTTTTACAGTGTGTATTTGTTTTCTCATTGCTGTCTGAGAACTATGATAATATTTGCTTTTATATCAAATTAACTTTGGAGAAAACTACAGCACAGTGTTATTTTAGTATCACTGATATACTATAATAATTGATTATGAAAATTTTGGTTTTATTTTATATAACTTGTATTAGTTGAGGTTTTAGTAATTTTGTTGTATGTTTTTGTCATGTTTTATTTTGTCATTTTTATTTTATTTATTTTTTTAAATCACGGTTATTATAGTTAAATAAAACTAAAACTAAAAAAAACTTTTATTTCAGCTTGTTGCCAAAGCAACATTTGTCATTTTTATTTAGTTTAACGTGATGTGCTAAAATAACTAAAACTAAAGTGAAAATAACAAATAAATAAATAATAACAAATTATAAAGACTAAAGACAAAAAAATGACAAAATTACTAAAACTTTAACTAAAATGAAAAGGAAAACAGAAAATATGAAAATAAACTGATTCAAAATATTAATAAAAATATATCAATGAAGTATATGTCTTATTTTATATATCAATATAATTTTTAAATATTGTCTTAAACATTTTAATGTTTTTTTTTTTTTTAGTTATAATTTTAGTTTTAGTTTACGATAATAACCCTGTTACTCTGGTACCAGAATAAAACATTTTAATGTTTTTTTTTTTTTTTAGTTATAATTTTAGTTTTAGTTTACGATAATAACCCTGTTACTCTGGTACCAGAATAAACATCTCATGCCGCCAAATCCTGACTCTTCTCTTAGATTAAGACACACGCTTGCCGTAAGGTTGCTTCTGACAAAAAGAAGCACAAAGCTGTTGTCTTCCTCTAAACTTCTCCCCGTTTCTCCCTCAGGGCTCCTCCATCTGTCGGCCGGAGCGGAGAGACGCTCGATGTGAGCAATATCACGAGAGCAGCTGCTGTCAGGAGCAAAGATGGAAAGGAAGGGCAGCAAAAGGTGAAATAAGAGCCAAAACCAGAGCTTTCATACAACCACACAAGAGTGGGCTTGTACGTGTGTGACCTCAAACGCAGATCGTGACGTGCCAGATTCAGCTCGTTTCTAATTAATCTGACAGTTCAGACAGCAGCGAGGTGAATGATGTTTTGGCGGCTGCGGTCGGGCGGCACCCAGCGAATGTTTAAAGCAAACAGAGACAATGTCTCACTGCAGCTCGCTCTGTTTTCTCAGTAAACAGTTGCAACACTACAGTACGGCATATTTATGATTAAAGAAACATATCATGTGACTGTCATAACGACAGCAAAGCTGCAGTAATTCCATCGCTTGACGTGTTAAAGGTGAAACTTTTTCCACTTCAAAAGTTTTAGCTCTTAAAAAATGCATGAATGATGTGTGATACAATCGATACGAGTTTCTCAATGGCCGATAATGATGTCATCTAAAGAGTCAATATTGTGCCAATATATGCATACTACAAATGCAATGCTCACAAGCTTATTTTGCATATTTATTTAAAATGCAATAAAAAATGGTGGGCATGGTTATTGGCTGGGCTTATCAATCAAATATTAGACAATTAATCGCCTTGTATTTCCACAAATGCGTCGTAATGCTGTCAAACGATTCGCATCCTAAATATAAGTTTTTGTTTACATAATATATATGTGAAAAATATGTTGTTTATATATTTTAAATATTTATATATAATATAAATTATATGAATATAAATATATACATGGAAATATTTTCAAAATATATACTGTATGTGTGTGTATTTATATATACATAATAAATATACACAGTATAAACATATATTATGTAAACAAAAACTTTTACTTTGGATGCGATAACTCACGATTAATCGTTTGACAGCACTAGTCGTAAACCAGACCATTTCCACCAACTGTAATCAGTATGAAGTCTAAAAAAGTGCAGATTTAATGGTTTTTAAATCTATTAGCTGAGCTTAAAGTCTTTTTTAATTGTTTTATTTAACATTTCACTATATATGCAAACTTCTTGGTTCTCGCATATATAGTGATCGTATGGAAGCATGAACAAAATTGCGAGCTAATCATACTTGGAAAATAGTGTGCAAGTACTGACAACTATTGTAAAATTTTTTTTTTTTTTTTGAAAATTTGATTTTATGAAATTCTTTTGTTCTTTTTTTAATACTGTTGTTTAAGTACTAAATTTACTAAAACTGCTATAAAAATAATCTATAGCTAATTAGAAATATTTACAAAAAACTAATAAAATAAAAAAGACACTCAACAAAAACGTAAAAATAAAAACTAAAAAAATTAAAATGTAAAAATAAAAGTCAATTCAAAATATTAATAAGTACTGTAATAGTACATAAATAATACTAAAACAACACTGGTGTCAACATTATGCTAAATAATGCATTTGTGTCTTACAAAAAAACAACAACAAAAACAACTGTGTTTTTATTGCTAACTAAAACCATTCAAAATCATTAAATGAAATGAAGCTAAATAAATAAATAAAAATTTAGAAATGTTGGCGTAGCAACCAAATAAAATAAAAAAAAGTTTAGGTACTAAATTTACTAAAACTGAAAAAAAAAATGAATTAAATAGAAATAGAAATATAAAAAATAAATAAAAACGATAAAAAACACAACCAAATAACTAAAAATTAAATAAAAATAAAAATTGAAAATATAAAAATAAAAGATAATTAAGAAGTACTATAATAGTACATACATTACACTGAAATAACAATGGTGTCAACATTATGTTGAATATCCCATCTTGCATGTCACAAAAAACAACCCAAATTATAAATAACATGAGAGTCCACTATCCCTTTAATTTCATATAAACACGCTCTCACACGT